TAGTAGTAGCAGCAGTAGCAGTAGCTTGAGCGCAAAAACCGGTCACGTGCGAAGCCGTATGCAAGGATCGTTACCTTTGACAACTTCGTCTCGGACGAAGAGACCAGGCTGCCATATCAAGCACATACCCACGGCCCACAGCATCACACACCATCCACGAACTACACTCAGCGTCGTTGCCCCTATTAAGGCCTCCGGTCGTTTCGGGGCTCGGTTCGAGCATGATAGCCTTCGCCCGATCAGTTCACCGTGGAAGGGGTATCAGACCAACCAGCTAGTTTGCCGGAACACAGCCGTCGCACAGAGACAGAAGTGAAAAGCCCATCTTTCTCAAACGGATACGGCTTAGCAGTCTTGACGTGTATGAAAGAAATCAGTATCCCATGGGAAGACCAACGACCACGCAGCTTGCGGCAGACGCCGATCAGGAGCACTGCTTGTTCGTGAGTGTCTAAGCAAGCAGCAAATGCCTTCAATAGCGGCACTCTGGCCTCTGCATGTACAGCAAACTGCCTGCGGGAGCACGACCAGTTACGATACGCTTGTCAGCAAAGCGCAGCGCTTCTGGCAGTTGGTTTGTGAGGTATGTATGACATGCTGTGACATGCATGCTTCTGCGTGTACCGGTGCGAACGGATTGGTTGAGTTGAGAGATGTTGAGAGGCTTGCAATGGTTTCAGGTAGCTTAGCAGATGCAGCCAATCGCAGCCGAATCACAGCCAACCCACGCAAAGCAGCATGGCAGCAACATCACAGAGACATAGAAGATTAATCACGAGATTCTTGCGTGTTCAAATCCTATCTGGTTGCCGGGAACCGCCAGTCTCGACACCACATCCTGGTCCTAGCTCTGAAACGGTCAGCAAATGCTGAAGGAGGACCAGACGACAAAAACAATTCTGCCATGATCGAGTTTTGGCACAATCAGCCCCCAGAGACTTTATAGAACCTAATCCAAAATCCCAAACTCGTCAAATGCTTGGGCCGAGAACCCGAGTCTTTCCTACTGAGGAGATCGATGGGCTTCTGTCTTTCACATCGGAGTTCGCAAGATCCTCCGATCAAGGCGAGAAAACGGAGTTCGGTGTTGGCAAGGCGGGCACGGGACGTTTGGACATGTTTGAATCAACACTCCGAGCCTTAAGCCTGTATAGATCTTTGGTTAGGCATGGTTGGAGGTTACAAGTTCATGGCTCGGAGTGTCAGAAGGGTTGTGGTTCATGTATATGTATGCTACAGCTAGGTCCAGCTAAATTCGCAGACCTTCACTTGCTGGGGCTCGCTTCTCGTTTCGACGGCGATTGTTGTCTCGAGATTCGCCGCAGGCTGCAGCACATGCCGGTTTCTGTTGGCCACCCACGAACATATGCTTGCACCCAGAGTTAATCTCAGCCAGGCAAAGCCTCAGTCTTGCGTTGCTTCGGATAAGTGCGTGGGTGTTTGTTACATCATTCAGCTTCCAAGTTTGTCCGGCATCAAAGGGTTTGTGTTCAAATTAGTTTTGCGAGTGGCTTGACATGTTTAGATGTCTTTTGGAGTTTGCCCTGGAACGACACCGTCTTCCCTCATCTGTTGTAATCGACTGCATTAAATGATACTCCTCTGGAATAATGGCGAAGGATCTAAACAAAGGCTTTGTTTTGCAAATCGCGGTCCATAGACCCGAACACTGGGCCCTGATGCTTCTGCAAGCTAGAATGGAGTGCCGCATGAATTCGCCAGGGTGTGATTTCCAGACATCGAACTTCCCAAACGGCATGGTGCGAAGAAGAGTGCAAGGCGGGGACGCACAAGGAAAGTTATTTGAGAAGACGCACTTCAATTGTCCAGCCGATGGTGACTCTCACAGGCTACTTCGGTCTTCCACAAGATTCGAGACAGCGTCCTCGCAGAAAAGCCCATTAACTCTCGTCTTTTTACGTTCAGTGTTCGGTAGTCAGTAGTTAATGTTCGCAGTTTTGACACGCAGGCTCCGCACCGACAGCTGTGTGTATGGGTGTGCAGGTCTTGAGATTGCTGTCGCTCCACCACAAGAACGCCTGTTTTTACTCACCTTCTGCATCTCAGGAATATCTCATCTGATAGATGTGCCATGGAAAAACTTTGAGACAATGCAGTTCTTGAAGCTCGGCACACTTTTTCCTTGTTTGCACGTTCTGAGATCAGCCTGAGATCCTGGCCATTATACGAGTGGCCGCAGTTGCCAAGGAAGTACCAAGTTGGTGAGGAGTATGCGCGACACCATGACATGCACAACGTCACGGACAATGAGTTCACGCCTGGACCGCGCATCTACACGTTCTTCCTCTATCTGTCGGATGTGGAAGAGGGTGGTGAGACGTTGCTTGACTGCTTAGGTCGTCAGTTTTGAGACAGCTACTCACCCCTGCCTTTTCGCCAAGTTCCCGACATGTGCAATTTTCAGGCGCCATTCCGCATATAGTCCTGAATCCATAAAAAATCTAGGCTCGACCTTTCCTCAACCGGAACCCCCAAGTGTGTTTAATCGCCCAACGTCTCAGGGAGTTCACGGAGCTCAACATCTCCGTGAGCCCACGCCCCCTGCACATCTTGGTGTGGGGTTTAGCTAGTTAGGCTTCAGGGTTCCGGGTTCCGGGGTGCGGCATACTTGTAGTCTTTGGTTTGGGGTTTAGCTTTTCTGTGTGCAGTGGCCTTGCGTAGTCTTTGTTTCGCCTGACGGTCTCGGGCTTTGGGAGAAGTTCCCAAAACGGCTTAGAGCCGTAGGGTTGTTCAACTTCACCTGTCCTTGGAGGACCTAGACAAACTTAAGCGTGGCGGAGCGGATAAGTTACATCCTGGAATTCAAGTAATTCGAGCGTTGCTCTGTCATGCTTTGAGTCATGTTAAGATGAACGAAATTCAAACACAGGTCAACAACCGCACAAAAACACACCCCGAATGTGGGATCCCGAATCGAATGTCAAGGAACCACTCCACTCAGTGTCAGGGATGAGATCGCACAGGTTTCATCACGACAATGGTGCTAGCATGAGCAAGCACAAGCCATTGCTAAACTCGACTGCTTAGATTCAACATTTTCAGCAGCAATGGCGAGGCAAAGGCTCTGCGCTGCTGTGGCCGTCGGTCCTTTCGCAGAACCCAACAGCAGCACGACCAGCAGCAAGTTTGTGGGATTGATGCCGCTGCCTCATCCGTTGATGATGTCTTCCTCGGTTTTCTTGATATAATTAGCCCCGAGATCAGCGTGGTGCTTGTTTTGGGTTCAGTTGTTTGGGTGGTAACATCCATGTTCGAAGGACGGTCGCTGCTTCATGCCGCAGCATCCTACAACCCACACCGTAGAAGCCTTTCAACCCAAAATGCTTAAATCAATCCTCTACAGCGTCGATGGCACCTTAGCGGGATCTTATTGAAGAACGTACCGCACCTTCAACCCTTCGGTGCCTGCAGAACCTCAGGTCCAAGACAAGCGGACGTTGCACGCTGCAAAGCCTGTGATCCGTGGCACCAAGGTGGCGGCCAATGTGTTACCAGACTGAACTTCTGCTGTTGCTCCACCGCAGCCGACGGACTAAATCCGTGTTACTGTAAGCGACATGTCTCCGTCGGCAGTATTCACGCTGAGTTCTCTCCGTGCTTGCAATTGTCATATCGTTCCCTAGACCCGTGCACACGCGGTTGTCGTTACTGTGTTCGTGTATTTTTTGTGCTGACCAGTATCGGTCTGCTACTTGCTCAGTCAGGTTTGTCTGGTCATTCATGTTGTTGCGGACCTGCGAATGTAGTCTGAGGTGGGTTCATTTGTTCGACTTCGAGGTCTCCAGCTTCTGGGCATGTACTGGTGGGCTTAAAGCGTAGAGGCGTGAATCGTCCCCCAATTCGAAGATGTGGGCCTCGGCACGCCAAACATCCCGGCGCCAACAACCAGGAGGATCAGGAGGCAATCATCATTGTCGAGGTCGGCTTGGCATGCCCGTTATTCATGAACGGTCGCCATAAGGCAGGCCTGGATCACCTCAACAGTTCCTGACCATGCACTGGCTTCGCCATCTCCATTCCCAATACTGTGACGGCGATCAGCATGGCAAGAAGAAGGAGCTGCGGAAGTTTCGAGTTCAATGCCTGAAGTGAAGCGAAAAAAGCTGCATCCAGTTGTGCAAGGTTTAGTTTGCTGCGCTGTTCTTGGTCGGTGCAAGAACGGGGGGTGGTCTAAGTAGTGTCCAAACTTGGGTCCCATCACGGTTTACTCCCCGTCAGTTCCTTGCCTTCCAAAAATGGCCCCGTGCATCAGGAAGCCCTCATGAGCTCTCAGGTCCGGCGTTCAACTCGATGTCGCGCTCCTACGGGGCGGTCTCCATTGTTTCTGAAGTCGTTCTGGATTTTTGAAGCTGTTGCCGTCATCTGCGACGTGCTATTCATGCGTCCGGTTCGCCGAGCATCGCGTTCAGGTCTATCCTCACCCCTCGCAAAAAGTTCGGAATGCAGTGCACCCTGACCTAGACCCCGAACAGTAGGATCTTCAGGACCCCTATAGAAAGAGCCAAAACGCTTCAGACATCCCCGCGTGGCTCGGCAAAGGTCTTGGCGTTCAATGTGACCATCGCCGCATGCTCCCGGAGCACTCAGTGGCGTCAGGCGTGTTCACGGGCCACATGCGTTCCTGACAGCACAGCTATGTTTGAGTGCTTGAAACGTTGAGGCTATGGGCTGAGGCATCCGGGGCTTTGGTCTGGGTTCAAAGGGGTTGCAGAGGATTTGCAACTGCCTCCCGTGCAATGCAAATAGGGTTCAGATGAAGGCCGCAAGTGTCCTGATGACTTGGCAAACAGGGTCTAGTTTGTGGTGGAGGGTTTCTCGTAACCTCTGGCTTGAGTCATGGAATGTTGAACATGGAGCCGTTCTTTGCCGGCAAGCTATCGATCTACCTATCCATCTACCTACCTGTCTGTCTGTTTGTCTGTCCGTCTGTCCGTCCGTCGGTCCGTCCGTCGGTCTGTCTGTCTATCTACACACATCATTTACGGATACTGCAGGAAAAATGCCACAAGGATAGGCGATGATGGAGCAGCTGATCCCCCAGCACACGGAATACCTCGGAAATCAACTGCGGTGGTGGGTGTGAGCCCTTGATTTAAACAACATCTGTTTTTAAAGGATAGTGCAATACCAGGATCCCTAAATAGTCACATTTGATTGCAGGCCTTCAGTCCCATGCATGAAGCCCAAAAACTCAAAATCTCAAGCGCTCTTGAAGCCCTAAATGCTACTTGGTCCCTATAACGTCAGCAGGCACTCAGTCTCCTTCACGAGCTTCAGAGTTCGTGCACTTTGGCTCCAGACGCCGGAGCCCCAGTACCTGAGGGAGCAGGGGGCCTCAAGAGTTTGATGAAAGGTGTCAAGTGTGGAATGACAAGTGTTTCTACTATTGCGCTCTGCGTTGACCTGGAAAGTTCGTAAGCTTCGTCAGAAGGTATCAGGATGTACTCTCCAAAGTCCTGCGACCCTTCCAGTCGAGCCGAGCTGGTTGACAGGGTGTCTTGTAAACCGTCAGGTCCCGAACCCCGAGTCCTGACCGCATTGGGTTTTGCGCATGGGAGGTCTTGGGTGTTAGTTTCGGCCGGAACGGGTAGACGCTGACGGGTTGCGGGGCTCAGAACCACCGCAACAATAAGCAGTTTGTCCTTTTAAATCAACCCTCAGGAGCTGCTTTGTCCTCTGAACCCAAGCATTCAATCCATGAAATTGCAGCCATCAACGCTTCCACGCCTTCCCCTCTAAATCTCAAGCTTAGCTGCTCTCATCGCTAACCTCAGTCCTAAAGCCCCTAAGGACGACTATGACTAAGACTAGGACGACTTGCAGCCCTCTAACCTTGAACCCATGTTCGCTGCTTGGAGGCCGCTTCTTTCAGCGGAGCAGGCAGCTCGCTCGTTCGAGCGGCGCTTTGGGAGCAGGACGCCATGTGGGTTAGAGATTCAAGTCTGCTTGTGTGGGAACAAGGACCAGGATCGGGCAGGTTTCCCGATTTAGGGTGCGGAGGTATGGTTTGCCCAAATCTTCAAGGTTGATTAATTAAGTGGTTTGAGGGGCTTGTGCTTGCTTTCATGGTTCGTGAGAGTCACTCAACAATGATATTTGACAGGATGCTTATGAAGATGGGGAGTTCTCGAAGCAGTGGTCTATTAAAGGAGAGGTCTTCACTATAGGATAAGGATCTTACAACTCACGGCTCAAATGAGGGCCCCTCATTTTTCTGAGCGGAATCTGGTGCTTTGGGGAAAACACGTACACCGCAACGAAGCTCGGACCTGCCCACCTGGACCATCGCACCCCAAACCCCAAGCAAATGAATTTAATATTAATAATCATAGTAATACTTTTAGGAATAGTACAATAATAACTACTACAGTTACTAAGAATAACACTGATAGAGACTGTACACTTACAGTAGAGGGCTCTGCGCGCAGGCCCTTGCATTGCCAGTTCCAAGGCCTTCTGGGGACCAGACTTGATGGTCGGCTCAAAAGAGATCCAAAGCCTTATGCAACTTACAGCTAGCCTAACTAGCGGCTGAACTACTGGTACGAGTATACGCTATTTTGGGAACCCTTAAATTGGGCGGCAGAGATTCGGGTCAGGGCCTCCGGGATTTAGTTGACACTTCCTGGGCAGTTCTATTCCTGGCGTTGAGAAATCCTAAGGGTATGTGCATCAGTCTCGAAGTAGGCTGCTTTGATCCGTCGGATCGGTCACCCAGAGATGTACGGCCCGGACGTCACGACTCGTTCCGAGAGCGAAGGGTCTAGGATGTTAGGGTGGCAGGGCCCTCGACCCTGCTACCCGCAGTCTTGATTGAACCTGACTCCGCAGCTGCCCTTCTTCGTGGCCTTTGGTGGCCAGATAGGATTTGGCCCCGCCCAGAATGACGAACCCGAACCCTTCAACCTGAATAAAGTCATACCTGAAGGCTGCGAGGGCATCAGGGGCACATGCATCTCCGGATGTAAGCTACCGGGAGCCGATATGGCAGTCCGCACCCAGAACTTGATACTCGGCACCTTACAAGAAGAGCTCTAGTAGCTAATATTAAGGTCAGATACTTCTGCAGACCGAAACCCTTCAACCTCGAACTCCATAGCACTAATTCACGAGCCTGAAGCCCAAACCCCGACCCCAAGACAAATTCGCACACGTCGGCACCATGAAGCGCCAAGGGCTTAGGTTGCATGGTATACGGTCAAGGGATGTGCAAGTTGTAGAATGCAACGGCTAGGGAGTTAGAAGTTAACAGGGATATAGTTCTGCAGACTCTACGACGCTGGCGTAAGCTACCAGAACTCACGGAGTCCTGGGTTAATGATGCGGACAGTTCAGTTATGATAAGGAAGCCATCTTCTTGGCTGCATGCCCCAGGTACTACATATCATTAATATCGTATACAAACCTGGGCCTGCTATACATTATTCCGCTTATGTATTGTATCTGCCATAATTTATTCTGCTTCTGATGTTACAGTATGCATATCGGTGTGCCTTTGTCTCTCTCTCTCTCTCGTGTATGTATTTACAGTTATATATTTGTATGCATACATGTGTGTGTGTGTGGGTATGTGAATTTGCATATGTATTGCTTAATGTGTATGTATGTGTGTATATATATATAAAGATAGATATACCCGTGCATATATATATATATACATTCGTAGCTGTATATACAGTTTTATATAAGTATACAAGTTTTTAATATACATATATATATATATAAATTTAGGCACACGTCTATGCATATGCTTGCATAATGCGTCCCGAATCCCTGCATTTGTTTTGAAAGCTTTGTGTCCCCAGTATCGTCGAGCCAGCCTGGAAGGCTCAACGTCGTCAGCTTCGGCACCCTTCTGGCAGCCTGCGAGCCCTTTGCCGTAAGGGTTAAATGACAATGGGCATCAGCCTTCTGGGGATGGATAAATAGATGGATAGGTAGATAGGTAGATAGGTAGACAGATAGGTTGATATCATATGAATATACCTCTGTATACACATGTATATGTGTATATACAGACATATGTATGTATATCTACATAAGATTTGGGGTTATCCACCTATCTGTCTGTCTGTCTAGCTGTCTATCTGTCTATCTGTCCATCTATCCATCTATCTATCTACCTATCTATCTACCTATCTATCTATCAATCTATCTATCTATCTATCGTAGGATCTTATGCTGTTGTTTAAGTGCGTAGGTTTCAGTGTTTTTTGATCCCAGCAGCTACTAGAAGGTCTGGAATCAGTGGCTAGGGGGGTCCAAAATTCGAATGTTAACACATTAGAACCTCGGTCGCTCTGGTATGTTCTTTTGTGTTTTCATGGCTTTGGGTTAATGCCGGGTCCTAGGTACATGTCAAGCCCAAGATTCCGAATGCTCACACAGAAGGTTCACGACGAAAACGGAAGTCTTTTTGCACCAAAACTGTTTGAGGACGTGCAGACTCAGGGAAGGCCTGAAACTCAATCCAGTGCATCGTAAACGTTTTCGCCAGATCCGTAATCTAAACCCCAGACGCCTGAGCCCTAGCCCTGAACCCCAAAACTCAGAGCCTCTGTCTCCTGTCCTCTATGATTCAGGAAAGGTGCCCGATGGGAGGAGGCCAGGCCACGCTAGCCCGAAGAGTCCAGATACCTCATCAGTCTCTGCTTCCCGTATTAACCTTCAAGTGCTAGCATCCAAACTGTTACCATCCTCCACACGCATACCAAATTATTGGGAACTTTGGACCTTTAGGGTAGACGTCCGGAGAGTTTCTCATGAAAGATGCTGTGGTGCCTAAGGTTGGAGCTCAAGAGGTAGAATTTATACGTTTGCTACGGGTTTTGAATAGTAAGAGTTGCCGTGAGGATGGATAGTGCAGGGGCCTACGGCTTCGACTTACGAGGTGATTTTGCAGAGCTCAGAATGAAACACATATTAAATGACTTATGTAGAGTTGTTGTAGGGAAAATGCTGCCTGGTTTCCATGCAGGTTCTTCGGGTTCTGAACCCTGGACCGCATACTTGCTGGCATTGAAGTTGAGGTTAACCATGCAGGGTTCAATATGCACTGGAGTTCGCGAGTCGAAACCCTCGATTCCAAGTCTGTTTCAAGGAACAAAGGCCAGATTCATTCAGAAGGGTCACGTGAACATGCAGGATGCATTAGTGCGGTATTGCTTGTTCTTCTTCTCGTCAGGACTTTCATATGCATGATTTTATTTGTGGGCTTCGGGTTCGGGCACTACAAAGCAGCAGAAGTGGTGTGAGAGAGCGCATCACTCCTCGAGCAATCGTAGAATCCCAGATCCTCAGCCTTTGTCGGGCGACTGTATAGCTTCTCGATAGTTCGTGGAACGATACAGAGGTCTCCTGCAGCCTGACGAAACATGAAGTTTTCTGAGTACCAAGCTTTCCCCGTGCCGTTTGACAAATCAAGACGTAGAGATCGCGTGCCCGCACACCGAAGCCATGTTACTCCACTTGCTATGCCATGTCTTTGTCTTCTCTGCCTTTGGTGGTGCGATTGCAGGTGAAGCACATAGACACGACATCTGCGACACCACCACATTGCTGCAAGTGCATCAGAAGCAGAATCAGTTGATGATGATGGATGCTGGCCTGGATGCTGCCGCTGGCTGTCCGGCAGTGCCCGACATCAAATGTCGCCAGCAGCATGGACACAAAGAGCGTGGTCCAGATCGCCGGATGAAAATTATGTTCCACAAGATGCCTGCAAAGAGAATCACACCGGTGAAGTGCAGCGTCTGCCAAACTGCACACGCGCACGGATACCTGTACTCGGTAGAGCGCTACGACGGCTTGGGACAACGTGCAGCGCATTTGATAATGTGTCTGGCCACGGCCAGGAAGTACAATCTCAACTTCGGTGGCCTCTTGCCAAATCCGGTGCGTTCAGTACATGGAGTAGAAGCTTGGCCGTTGATGGACTGTAGTCAATAGACATAGTAAGCAAGTCAAGCTGGATCATGAGTAGGACTAGGATGATTAATCGCAATTTGTGTGCGGATAGGCTGGGCGATGTGCATCTTCTGGGCTTTCGGTTGGCGAGCAGACTGCATGCGGTAGTGTTGCAGCTGCAGGGTGAGGTTTTCGTGCAATGAAACTCTGCGTATGTATGCATACATATGTATGTATACACATACATAAGTGTGATCGATCGTTTTTGTTCCCGACCTTGTCATGGGTGACTTCCTCAAACGAAATCCCAGCACGCAGATGTGCAGCAGATGTCGGGCATGCTTGCTCGGCACATGTACACATGCCTCGAGCTTCCAATTCCTTTAAAATCCGGGTCGTGTTCAGAATGCCATACCGAAAGAAAGCCAGTCCAGGAAAGAGTCCCCTCTTCCTGTTGTGTTCTACTTGCCACTGTTGTCATTCGGGAGACATACAAGCTGACAGTACTGTTGAAGGAGAGAGCTCGTGCATCACCGTTCATATGGTTTCAGCATATTTCCCATAGTTCGGGTATGTTCGGGTAATCAGGCGTAGGTTTTTGAAAGTTCCTCCGTCAGTGGTTCCATCAGCCGTCTGATTCTGCTTAACCCGGCAAAACCCCTCACACATGCCTGAAAACACTTCTGTACGTACTGTACCGAGGACATGAGGAAGTACCTGGGGGCTGTTGTGGGCGCCGACTACAATCAAATTCTCCGGCGAGTAAGGCGCTGCTGAGTCTCCTTTCTTGGGGGCTTCTACGAAAAATCCTTCACGTTAATGGAAGGATCTTATATAAGGTATCAAAAGGGTAAAAAAGCCTCTGGATCCGCGACATTCTGTATTTTCACTTCTGGTTTTAAGAGGGTCATGGCACGCATTGCTTGAGCTGTAGAAGGTCGCCACATGCTTGCATCCACAGCTTCTTGTTTCGACAGTTTCGAATGTTTGGGAGAATCTTCAAAAGCGGTCGAGAAGATGAGAATAGGGCTTTGCGGTGCGACGCAGGAGTCTCTTGGAATCTGGAATGGCATGGCTGCTTGAAGGTGACAGCTGGTGTGTTTTTTGTTGAACGGGATCGCTAAGATCTTGGATTAAAGAGGTTGTGCATTTGTTGAGGATCACGAGACCGGCCCAGTAGACAGTTGCTATACATCACAGCTCCCTACATCTTGATTCCTATAAGGCATTGGCGTTCCTCTCAGCCTTAAACCTTAGCCGTGTAAGCTCCAATCTTTCTTTAAGCCCGGAAAGCTACACGGCTCCCAAGCAGGCACGCCGAGTTCGACACCTGCGTCTACGGGAGCAACCAGCTGCGACGGAAGGGATCCACCCAAGGCCGCTAAGAGAGACTTTCAGGATTTGGGAGCTCTGGGGGTGTTAGGGTTTCAGGGTCCTTCGGGGTTCAGGTCCGGGCTTCGAAGTTTGAGCCTTTGCATTGTAGAGCTGTGTTTTGTTGCTTGGTTTTGTGGCAGTTCGATGTGGGGCTTCTGAAGACTCAAGGTTTGTTTCTCTGGGGAGGAAACCTGAAGCCTGGGTGACCCTGAGTCCGGAGTACCGACCTTGCCCAGACAGCTCAGCCGTAGTACAGGAGAAGCGTCACAAATTGCAGATATAATCCTTCCTTCGAATCATTGCCTGCCGCCATTGCCTGTGATGATCACAGCTTGGATTCTGAGTTCACTTGATCGGTGTGTGTAGCTTCATAACGCTTGTTGGAGATGCCTTGAGCGTAGAAGCTGATACATGGTTTCGAAGTTCAATGGTTTTAGGTGATTTAGCGTCTATCGCCTATCGTCCGCGTCGTATGATAAGCTTCCCACAATGCTTCATATTTGAGGCCCTGCTCGAAAGCAGGCAACCTCTTCAATCGAAACCTAAAGTCAGGGCAGGATTGCAGTAACTCTCAGAATGACAACAAGAACAGCCACCACCACAACAACAGCACCAGCAGCAGCCACCGCCACCGCCACAGCAACTGCAACAGCAACAGCAACAACAACAACAGCAACATCAAGTACAACTATCACAACAACGACGACAACAGCAACACCAACACCATTAACAACAGCAGTAACAACAACAGCAGCAACAACCACAACCACAACTGCAACCAGATCCACAACCAAAGCTACCAGCAACAACAGCATCAGCAACAACAACAACAAAGCACCAGCAACAGCAACAGCAACACAGCCACAGTCACCGACAACAAACAAAACAACACCATCAGCACCACTACCAGCACCACCAGCAGCAGCAGCAGCACCACCACCACCACCACCACCACCACCACCACCACCACCACCACCACCACCACCACCAACACCAACACAAACACCACCAACAACAACATCAACAACAACAACAACGACAACAACAACAGCAACAACAACAATAACAACAGCAGCACCAGCAGCAACAACACCACCGCCAACACCAACATCAACAACACCACAACCAGCAACAACGACATCAACAGCAACAACAACAACACCAACAACAACAGCAACAACAACAACAACAGCAACAGCGACAGCGACAGCAACAGCAACAGCAACAGCAACAGCAACAACAACAACAACAACCACAACCACAAC